AAATGGTATCCTCCCCGTCTTTATGTTTGTCTTGTGACATGCCAGTGTTGTTGGACTCCATAAACGCCGATAGAACAAAAACGCCTCCAATAGTTAAACAACCAAAACTTCCCAACGGTCCTACAACGTACAGCCCATCTCGCATAAATAGAAATGAAACCTTGAGTCTAGTTTGCTGTATCCATCTCCTCGCCGTTTCCAAAGACGAGGAAGTCAGCGTCCTCAAAGTCATTGTCGGTAACCATGTTCTCTTGCCCAAAATATCCACCACTGGAAGACTTCTTTGAGAAGCGAGATCGTGGGGTAGACTTGATGCGCTCGTTCACAAGACTGACAGGGGTTAAGCTTCGAGTTTGGGTATCCTCATCCTCGTCGTCATCCAGGAAACGCTTGCGAGAGGTCGACGAAGAATCAACACTTTCCGTGCTCTCTTGGGACATGGTTAGCCCTGGCATATCATCCAGGCCAGGGGTGTCATCTTCGTCGCTATAATCATCCCTATCCACAGCAGGCTGAGTATCCAAGCCTCCGACTCTGTTGATGCCGCAGAATGGCAGGAGCTCCCTGGATACAACCCTGGCCGAGGCAGGTGAGGACCTGGGGGCAACGTGTTTGCGGTCGTCGGTCCAGAGCTTGAATGCACTGGTAGACTTGGTCTTATAACCCTCCGGGACGGATTTGCGCACACGCATGCCTACACTAATGAGGTTTGACTGGACACTAGCTGGGAGCGCAGGGGCTCGAGTGGATGGGACGGGTTGTCCGGGTGACTGTGCGTTGAAGAAGGAGGTAATCTGGCGCTGCGATGGGTCGGCAGCTGCACCAGCAAATGGGCGCTTGACTCGTGGAGTGGACATGTCGTCGGGGTTGATTAATTGGGTGCTGTAAAGGAGATGATGGAATGCGAAGACAGGAAACTATGATTTTCCGGCGGTGATAGCGCTGGCAGAGATAATTAGGGTGTCTGTGTTAGATTTGTAGTTGTTGGGCTGTGGCGCTCTGTTCTGTTTTGAGGTCGCTGGTTTGATGCTAGTAAAGCCGGCCAATGCTGGTCCGAGCGGAGGGGTAGAACAGGGATTTAAAGAGAGAAATGAGGCGAAAGAGAGATTGCGTAGATGAGTGGAGAGTGTCTAGGGAGTGTCTAGGTTGGATTGGAAAAGTTGGCGATCAAAGAAGAGGGGAGAGGCGATATTGCGTCAGAGGTGGAAGAAGAGAATTGATTGTCGCAGGATGGCAGGGAGGCTGGGGGTCATTCTTGGAAAGCTGCAAGCGGAGATTGGCCAGCGGCCCTGCACAAGCACCGCACCTGCATTGCATCTGTGGGGCAGGGGACCAAGTTCAGATGCGCGTCAAGGTCGTGTTTTTTCGCGTTAAGTAGTACATGGGTACATGAGGGTTAGAACAGCCTGCTGACTCATCACATAAGCACGGGCCTCCAGGGAAGTTGTGATGACCGTGATAAACTCCAGGTTAGCTCATGTCAGCTTTCGGACTTTCTGATATCAGTGTTGTGTTCGTCCATTGGTCACAAACAGACGGTACCCTCAGGGATGTCTCCCTTTCACTAAAAGCAGATCCAAAACAGAGGGGGAGATATATGCCTATCCATTGACGCTTTTCTTAGCCTAGCGATGTTTATTCAAGCAACTCGTTTCGGGCGACCTGAGGCGAGGCTCGTATGATATGGAGCACTCTGTCCATGAGCGAGATCGTAGGGGTAGCAATAGCCACATTAGTTGGATGGTTATAAATGGTGCCGTGCCTTAGAACGAGCGATTTGGTTCTTGAACCTGGTATGTTTCCGTAATTTGGTCGTGACTTTATGATTATGAGTCTGGTCCGTGGTGTCCTGTGGCTGCTCCTCGATACGCCGCTCCCAGCCCTTCAGTTGAAGGAAATGGAGCTTTGCATTGTGCCAGAAAGAGGGAATCCGTCTTAAGATTCTTGCTTAGAATCATGGTGAATCATAATGAATCATCCGCTTCCTTGGTAAGGTGTGGTGTCAGCCTAGGCCGAATGACTCATGACGATGGACGTCACAATCGTTTAGGCATTACATGTCACAGCAGTGGCAAACAGACATCACGATCCAAGGTTCATGCAGGATGTGGAAACCATTTGAATTTCGCAAAGCACAGTGTCCTCCTACAGCTATTCACTGCACTTGGGTATGAAGCGATCATCAACCAGCGGTTCCACGTCCTCACGTCTAGCCCAACGTAGACGCTCCATGAAATGCTTTCTCCAGCCATCTACCCCATGCAGTGCTTTTTAATGTTCCAGCCTAAGAGACGACTCTCTGGTACAAGACGTGACGTAAAAACGAGGAAAGCTCAAGTGCCATGCAAGATATCCGGAGACCCCCAAACGCCCCTGTTTTGGGTGTTCCATCTTCTATCTGCAAACGAGGTTTGATTATTGTTGCCGCATCGAAAGTTGTCTGTGCGCCACGTCGATGATTGGTTTTTTTTTTGTTGTTTTGCAGATCCGAGATGACCACCGTTAGATGAACCGTAAGAGTCGTGAATACCCAAAGAAAGAAACTACCAGATGTGGTAATTTACTTTCTGCGGAAAGAGCAACCCTCGGTTAATCGTGCCTTACCACCGGTAGGCTGGCACAGAACGGTTGTGCAGCCCTGGCAGATGACGACGGTCTGGGCGTGGGAGAAGACGGTGGTGATGGTGAAGCATCCGGGGCACTTCACGTCCATGAAGAAGGATCGGGGGGCGGGCACAAGGGTCTGTGGCCATGCTTGTTAGACACTGATATTGTTGAATCGCAGAGCCAATGGAGACGGGCTTCTCGGATATCATCGTACCTTGAGCTTGTGCTTCTTGGCCTCGGCGGCCGGGGAAGGGTTGATAAGATCAACGGCTAACACCTAATTGACAAAAAGGATCAGTACTAGGACTTCCGACAAAATGATGATCATCGGCTTCGTGAAAAGTAATGTGCGCAGGAGAGCATTGTGGATTATCGGGAGCCGTGAAGTGAAGGAGGCCGCGAGGAGTCGGGGCATTGCGTGTCGTGCGACTGATCGATAAAATTCCATCTGGCTGAAATTTCGACATCCAAAATTCCTCCATCCAACCCGTGCTCGAACGATTCCACTCTCGTCGTGTGTTTTGCTTGAAATGCAGGAAATTCGTCGCTTACCATCTTGACTGATTTTTTTGGAGAAGAATTGAAATGGAGGACTTGCGACTGTCGGGCTAATTGACGGTATCTGGCGACGGATTCGAGGCTCGCAAGAGGCGTGAGAGGAGGTAAGCGAAGAAAAAGTTCGGTGGGCTTGAGGGGGAGGTCCTCCTTTGCCTCCGGTCCAAAATTCTCACCAAAGAGGAATGGCGCCCTAGGGTTGTTCTGCCCGGGCGCACGTGAGTCGGCGGTTGCCCGAGCCCCATTGGCCCACGCTGGGTCTGCCCATTGACCTGCCGATCCTGATGGAAGAGCTATGAAATTATGCAACCAAGACAGGTGGTCTTGTGCACATTTATGCTAGTCCAGAAACACCACCTTAGACCCTTGTAGCCCCATTGACGTACGCGGGAGACAGAATCTTGGTGCCTTGGAGCACTTACGCAGCTTGATCAGGTCCATCATTTTCTGGCATTGCTGCTTGCAGCCACCGTAATTATCCTTTTCTTCAACCGCCTCAAATACAGTGACCATAAACCACAATGGCCGCCCCTGCAGATCAGCGTATTGCTGTCCCTATCGATGACCCTAATGCAGACACCGAGTGGTAAGCTCCAGGACCCCTCCAAAAATGCTTAGGGCGGGGTTCTAACAAAATCTACAGGAACGACATTCTACGAAAACATGGAGTTATCCCCGAAAAGCCGCCTAGCCCGACACCTATGATCGAGGAGGCCATTCTCGAGGGAAGGAGGTTAGCACACGAGAACAGACTCGAGGGAAAAGACTTGGACGAGCTTGACGAGCTTGAGGATCTCGAAGACGATGCCTTCCTCGAAGAGTACAGGCAAAAGCGCTTGGCCGAGCTGAGCAAAATTCAGAAAAAGGCCGTACACGGCAGCGTATATCCAATTACCAAACCAGAATATCAACGAGAAGTAACGGAAGCTTCCGAGAAGGGTCCCGTTTTCGTGAACCTCACCTCAGCAACGGGAACCAATATTGAGTCCAAGGTTCTCTCCGACTTATGGCGTCAAGCAGCACAGGAGTATGGCGACATCAAGTTCTGTGAAATCCGAGCCAGCCAGGCAATCGAGAACTATCCTGAGCGGAACTGCCCTACAATCCTCGTGTACAACAAGGGGGATATCGTCAAGCAGTTAGTCACTCTCGTCACCATCGGCGGTGTTCGAACCACCATGCAACGCATTGACGACATGCTCGTTGAAGTTGGTGCCGTCGCCGACACAGACCTGCGCGTTCTCAAGCGAAGGCGTGCAGCTGAAGATGCCGAGGAAGAGCGCATCATGGCAGGCAAGACTATCAAGACAGGTGTTGCTGGGAGATCGAGGGACGATAGTGATGATGATTGGGATTGATCTATTAGAATTGGTATACAAAGCGTGGCCGTGAGGTCAAATCTAAACAACACCAACAATATGCATATAAGTCCGGTTTACCCAAAGCACCCACGGAAGTCTGGTTGTGGAATGGTCCGAGCGGATATCCGGAACAAGGACAACAGTGCTTGCCGACGCTAGGACCCGATGTCGAGTCTCGACCATTCATTATCTGATCCTCGACAGCTGACATGTGGCGAATGCGAGGGCAGATCATCGGCGGCTGGGCACCAAACTGGGGGGTCTCATGACGTGGGGCGGGAGGGACCCTAGCGCTGGTCCATATTTACGTGCCTAGTCGCGTGCGTTCGAGGAACGCGTTTTCCTTCTTGATCCCATTGCGCCTAGCAGACAAAGGTTTATTTATTATCACTTGTACTAGGCATTGTCCCTGAGAAATCTGCATCAATTTTGGCTTTGGTCTCTCTTGAGAAGCTTGCGCAGCTTATTTTGAGCCCAATGGACCAGGAAGAAGTCTCGCTTCCCCCGCTTATAAGCGGCGTGTCGCACAATCCGCGAAAGCGCCCGCGCCAGCCACGGTTGTCGTCGTCACTTTCCGTGAATTCCAGCGACCCGGCTATCTTTTCCAGCGACGATGATCCCGCGCTGGACAATTACGTAGAGGGCCGCCAGAAGAAGAAATATATCGGCTCCTGGTTTAAGCATGATCCCGCATCATCCTCCGACTCCACGTTTGGCGAACCCACCGTTGCCTTGGGTCCCAAACCAAAGCGGACTTTCAGGCGAGACTTCGACAGTGGTGTCTTTCTCGGCAGCGATGGCACCGACAGCGAGGGAGTGCCGGAAGTTCTGGACAGTCCGGCAAAGCCGAAGCTTCCTCAAGTTGTTGTCCCTAAAATCTCAGCTGCAGAACAGAAGCTGAGGGACAGGATTGAGCGCTGTCTTGAGACTGGGGATGAGGCCATCGACTTCTGGCAGATGAATCTGTGTGAATTATCCAACGATACCATCGCTCCTCTTTCTCAATTTGCCCACATCCCCAAGATCACAAAGGATGTCGCTTTTGAGCAAAAAGAACCTGAGCTCAAGCTGTATCTGGCCCAGAACAGATTGATGCGCCTACCTGGCGCTCTGTTCGATGTGACCTACCTCACCACGCTCAGCCTTCGCAACAACAAATTGGCCGAGGTCCCTCCAGCCATTGGGAAAATGCACAATCTCCAGCAGCTCAATCTATCACAAAATCGAATTCGGTATTTCCCAGTCGAGCTACTTGACCTATTCAAGGCCAACAACCGCCTGGAGGGCTTGTCATTATTCCCCAACCCTCTCCTACCCGCAGAACAGTCGTTTGAGAGCCTCCTAGACGACGTTGGCCCAGAGCCATTTGAAGTGTGGGACGGTGCTCCCTGGAAGACTACCGAGAATTTGCCCCGATTTCTTACCCGTCGCCTAGGTCGTTCACCGGTTCAGACTTCAGAGAGTACGGGCAAAATTACGTCCGTCTTCACCATGAAATCAGCCACGGATGCCGGCATCGTTCGCGTGGAACAAATCTTCAACACTAAACACGAGTCTCACGGATCTCCAGACCCCTCGGATGAGCCCAGTGTCCAGCAACAGACGGTATCCAGCACCAGAGTACCAAGTCTGGTAGAGACCGTGATGAGAAGTGCCCATAGGAGTCCTCATCTCGGCGAGATGGCATCGTATATTCCTGACGAGCTGTCTCACCTCCGCACACTGTGCGATCGAGCTACACTACAGCAGGACCAGGGAGGACTGGTATGCTCACAATGTCGGAGGACCATTGTGACTCCGGCGCTTGAATGGATCGAGTGGCGAGAAATACGATCCTTCTCAGAGAGCACGAGGTTTGGTAGAGCTGGCAAATATCGTTTGGTTCCTATCAGCGTGCGCCGAGATGAGATCAACGTACCATTCATACACCGAGCATGCTCATCAAGGTGCGGTCCACAGGAACAGCATGCAGGTTGGGAATTTCCTCAGGGAACTCGGGGCAGAACCATTGGCAATATTTTCTATACGGGTCCCCTCCCTGGTGAGGAGGGTACACCATCCGATCCATAAGGCAGCCTTTTTTACTTTTGCTATTTTATCAGTATCACACGGCTCTTGTTATTTTTTATTTTATTTTTGGCGCAGCGGACCATTCGGTCAACAGGACATTATTAAGCTAGGGTGTATATATTTCTACTCGAGCAATCGAATATATTTGAACGGCCTCCTAATTCCTAGGGAGGTCTCAACTGGCATACAGCACGTCCAACATAGGTCTCACATTTCAAAGTGCCGCAATGGATTATTAAGTTACGTGTGGACTCGTAACCCCGCGTCTGTGTTGCACTGTAGAGCTTCGAGGAAGCGGTACGTCAGACGCCATCCAACCGTTGATGCCACCTGACCCAAACCAGGCTTATGACCAACCTAGTGGCAAGGATAAGCTCAGCCATATCTCCATTATCACTTATAAGAAAAAAGTCTAACTCTCTGGCATTGTTTACTTGGGTCAACTGAGTCAGTGGGTAGGCCATCGTCTGATCTAGGCTTTGAAGGAGAAAAATTAGATATTCCACCCCTTCAATTGCTTGACTCGGGCAGCACAAGACCTCCATCGCAGGTGTATCCATGAAATAAACTGCGCACAAGAGTCGCAGCAAGTACGTAGTCGCACTAATCTCGTGGGCAGTCACAAGCAAATAAGACACGGGCCTAATTCATGCAGTTGACAGATCCAGATAGAATGGCTGCATATCAGCAGGGGAGTGGGGGGCGATTCAGCGCATCGTGAACCCGGTGCCCGCCTGTAGGCGCTTTTTGCGCGCTGTCAGATTGAGGGACCAGGCCTCTTATCACCTGGCGAACCGAACCAAGCCCAAAGTCGTCATCTGCCCCATCCATGCATGCCAAATGCCTGTCTTTCCCATCCCTCCAGCCTGGTTATTAGCTCTCTTTGTCTATCTGGTCTATCTCCCCCTCCCAGCACGCCTTTTCGCGGCATAGCATTGGCCTGTGGAGTCGAGAGTTTTGGTATTTGATTTTAGAGATGAAAACCTAAGTGTCAACTTTATATGCCGCCCTGCCCTTGAGGACATTCCGACATCACACACACTGCTTTGCGGACCCTTGCTCGAGGACAAAGAGAGAATCCGCCGCCGAAAATGGCCTCTCCCAACCCGTCGCGGCCCGTGTCGCCAACGCCATCGCAGCTCCCACCAGTCCCAGCCTCTCCGGTCTACTCGATGGCCTCAACCGCCAATCCCCTGTCTCAGTACAGCCTCCCGCTACCGCCGCCCCCACGACCTCCCCATGCCGTACTCACCAAAGCCGACCTCGAGCGCTCCCAGGAAGCCTACTCCGACCTCGTCACCTCTGCCAAGGCCTACCGGCTCGCCCTCGCCTCCCTATCCACGGCGGCATCCACCTTTGGCTGCGCACTGGAGGCATGCGCCCGCCTCAAGGAGTCCCGCGCCGAGCCGGTCGCCCCGATGGGCCCCAGCAACATGTCGGCCAGCTTCACGACTAAGGGCGCCTGCACGGCCGACACGCTCATGTCCGCCTCCGGGGTGCAGCACCTGATCGCCAACCACCAGCAGATCCTGTCCGAGACGGTGTACCGGTCGTTCGAGGTGCCGCTGCTGCACGAGCTGGACAAGTGGCAGACGCTCATCGACGACGAGGAGGAGGCGTACCAGCAGCGCATGAAGACGCAGAGCAGGGAGATTAAGCGTCTCGAGAAGGAGGGCATGAAGCTGCACAGGCAGCGCAAGAGGGACGTGGGCCGGTTCCGGGCGCACCTCGTCGAGCTCACCAATAAGCTGGACGGGCTCACGACGCTCCACGCGGACCACTCGCGGACGCTGCTGAGGGAGAGCCAGGACACCAGCGGCCGGATCGTCGACGCCAGCTGCAGCCTCGTGAGGGCCGAGGTGGACATATTCGAGAGCCTGGCGAGAAAGGGGTGGACCGGGGGCGGCCTGGAGGATCTCCTCGAGAAGGGGCAGGACCTGTTTGCGACGGAGGACCACCACGCCGGGGTGGTCGGGGAGACGACCAAGCTCTTCTCCATCCTGCCGCCTAAGAGCATCCTCGCGGACTCTGCATCAGATGCCTCCAGGCCGGGCCACGCAAGGAGCGACAGCCTGGGTATGGACTCTGGCCAGTACCAATCTCTTGCCGCCGTCGCGGAGGCTCGTGGCGGCGGCGACGCCGACAGTATTATGTCTGCAGAGTTCACCAAGCCTCGCAATGCCAGGCCGTTCTCGCCACAGCCTATTCGGCGGAGGGCGACGGATGTGAAGGTTGACAGCCTGGGGGCCTTTTCTGGGGAGTCTTCATCTGTTAATGGAGACGAAGATGTCCTTCGGGCAGATCATAAGGTGCCTGCGATCGATCAAGACATCAAGGAAGAGGAAAATGAAGAGGAGGAGGAAGAGGGCCAAGAGGCCATTTGGGATGAGAGACAGGAGCTCCTGAGCAATTCCGGAAGACAAACACCGGAGCAATTCCGAGGACGAAAATCACCAGAGTTCATCACAGATGAAAGTTCGCCAGATCCATAACGAGCGAATCATTACACACACACAAGTCAAAGCAGAATGCTGTCATCATCTTGATTGTTGGAGTTCATGGCGTTAATAACTTCAGGAGCGAAGTTTGGTAGTTATAGACAGATCTGTATTATTTTGCTGTAGTATATATATATGCTTACAGCGGGTATCCATCAATATCCGCTGTGTCTATCAGACTGGCCAGAATATCCTATTCATATTACCACCAATTTAAACCGAGTGCAAAAAAAAGAGAGAGAACGCCAAAACCCCAATCGTGCTATGCGGCTGTAGCAAGCCTTCCACTACTTTCACATTGCTCATACAAGCCTCTCGTATCATGAACATCCACGCGCCCTCCTTCGGTTTATTCGTCCTTGTCGATGCTGGAAATGTCACCTCGGAAGAGACCAAAAGTGGAATCGAGCCACCAGATGATCTTCCAGTACAGACTTGCTCGATTCCAGTCAAAGTCGCCCGTTTCGGTTCGGGGGACTTCGTTGCCAATGATGCTTCCGCTAAACCAATTGATGAAGGGGATTGCGCTCAGAATGCGCTGGGTCACTGACTTCTGCGGCTTGAGGGCCTGCTCGGCAGGGAGAAGGACTGCGCGGCGGGCTGTAGGGATGCTGCGGCAGAAGACGCTGTCTTCCACAATTAATGGTTCAATGCCCGAGGACGTAGCTCCAGAGTTTCCAATTACAGCTGGGGTTGAATCTATGACTGTGCCGCTCGAGAGCGTACCGGTCTCGAGAGTTTGGCTCGAGTCCAGAGACTGGGGTGGCGAGTTGTTCAGATCAACAAGACGGCTGTTGAAGGACGTGGGGAAGCTGGTAACGCTCTTTCTCCTAGGCTGACCATAAGCCGCGGGCATGCTCTTTGATCGTTCATGCTCTCCTGCGAACAAGCTATCAAGGTCTGGGATCGCTTCGTCTTTGGGAGGTGGCATCCCCTTGTATGGCTCGGCGTAAACAAGGTGACCCAAGATGCGCTGTGGGCTTGCGTAGATGGCAGCATCCGCAGCCTGGGCACTCTCAAATGTAACTTTGATCCAATGCTCGCCTCCATCGACACGGTTGACCTTCATCCGCTCCTCTGCATTCAGAGTTCGCTGTCTCCTGAATGCAGGGTCCCGGAGCTGAGACTTGTAGCGTCGCTGTGATGGTGGTGGCTCGCGAGGGTAGTCCTCCAGGATGATACCAGCAAGCGACTCGAAATGAGAAACGGCGGCGTATTGTTGTGTAGAGGATCGGTAGCCGCGAAGCATAATCTCGACGGGCTGGGAGGCTTTCGTCTGAAGCTGCTGCTGCTGCTGTTGCTGCTGCTGCTGTGATGCCTGAGACCCTTGCGAGTCATCCTGCTGTTGCTGGGCGCTTTCTCTCTGCTGCGTCGCCGAGGCAGTGGCTTGGTGGCCTGCCACCCAGTCACCAAAGAGCTTATCGGCAGCAACTAGAGTTTTGTTCTCGCGCCCGCGCTGCGCTGGTGTGCCGGTGCGTGATCGAGACCGACGTGTCGATTTTCCGAAGGAGCCAGACTCGCCAATATTTCGCCGCGATCGGGTGGTTCCTGTGTGTGCGTCTGGTCTAAAGAGCCCGTTAGCTTAGCTCTCCAAAATGGGGGATGACGGATGGTGGTAAAGTTCATACTGGTTGAAAATCATGGCATAGGGACGCTTGACGCCATCATCACCAATATAACATTCGTCATCGGGAACATTATGAAGAATAAGAGGCGCCATGGTGACTAGATGAAAGCCGCAAGCGGGTTTCGCGTTGTGTGTTGTGGTGGTGAGAAATTGGAATGGCGAGCTGTCGCGACAAAAGCTGCTGGATGGGCAAAACTAACACAGAGCTTTCTTTGTAGATATTTCTTGTTTGATCTGTTTAGCCCAGGAAAGCTCCAGGGCAACGCAGGAAGCAAGTTTCTCCGATACCCGATAGAAGTCACCTACCCTGTAGCATCCACCCATTCCGATCTATCTTTGAAGAAGTTGGGTCAAATCAAGGTCTAATAGACGGAAATCTCAAAGAAAAAAAATCCCAAATTTATCCATGTTCATATCTTGGTTTCTTCTCTATTCCATTCCTGTATTTACGGTCAATGCGTAGGTCTCATGAAGAGGAAGGATGGATTTAGTTCCAAAAAGCTTACTTAGCTCATGTGTGAGTGCATCGATCAACTGCGTTGAGTTTCATCGACAAAGACATGAGTAGTATTACGAGCCCTTTATAATTGAACAGAGTAAGATTATCATATAATTCAAATTCTCGTCCATACAAAGTATAATCATCATAGTTTACAAGAATTCTTTTGCATCTCCTCCTCACTATTTGACAACTTTCGATTTTTGAAAGTAGTCGAAAACGAAGGCTGTAAAATATTCCAGCAAGGATACTTTTAGAAATATTTCCATGTAATTAGAAAGATATCATTAGGTTAGTACCACCAAGTGAGTCTAAAAGCTTCTGAATCTAAAAAAGGATAGCTGCCTTTGCCAATAACATTTGCTGCTCTACCTCATGTATTTGTAAGCATTCGTGGCTCCAAATATTTGTTTACAGTCATTATGTAGGTATATGTTTACAAAGACATAGAAGGCATTCCAGGAGACAATAGCCACACTCTCTTTGTGTTGAACTCAAAAGAGACAAGGCTTAAGTACTAATACAGGCCTAAAGATAGTGTTGGACACCGATTTGGTGCATCGTAGGTGAGAGGAGTTGGCCGATTTGTGCATTTGAATTCTATAGAAGGAATGAATAATAGCATTGAAGCCCAAGTGTTATGGAATTTATTTTATTGAGGGGAGGACTTTTGAAAAAGCCATAGTAGGAGCATGACTGTCTGGGCTCCGCCTTGAAGATACATGCAGTTCAAAATGCGAATATGCCAACAGAAAGGGCATACTTATTTGAGATGGATGTTTCGATATATGTCAACTGTCCAGAGAGATAAATGTGAAGTTCCCCTTTGTTTGGAAATATCCCGATAGCTGTTTATTATCCTTCGCGGAAAGATGATGATTAGTGGAATAGAGCTAAGCTAACATTCTAGATTGAGTGATGCCGATAGAAGGATACGCTACAAGGAAACATGGGGAAAGTTTTTGATTCATTCCGGCTGTCTTTTCACGCATTGTACTAGAGGATACTAACGACTGTTCCCTGATATAGAAGTTGAGAGGCCATCCCGGAGAAGATACTGAACTTCCTAGTATGATTAGCTGGTCTCTAGCAACGGTGTTGGAGAAAATTTATCCGACCATTGCGGCGTTGGGGACACTCACGCCCCTCTTTGCATCATAAATTTACCGCACTACTCTAGTAGAAGAAGGACGATAACTCATACTTCTAGGGCGTGAAGACTACTTTCTGAACCTTGAGCTGATCGAATAGCTGGTAGCCTTCCACCGCGCTGGAAAGCGGCATGATATTTTCGAACATAAAGCTAAGATAATAAATCAGCTTGATGAAAAATAGGAGAATCAAGGTTCTGACCTGAGAAGATGTTGCTTTTTCTCAAGCAATGCGAGAGCTTCGGGAAAGACACTTCGCACCGGACAGCGGCCCATCTGAAGGCGAATATTTTTTCTGATATATGATTAGTTCCCAATAATACCCATGAAAAACTTTCGTAGTTAGCATATACGTACCCATAAGCTTCATTGCCTGTCCAGGGAACCTGAATGCTATCAGCATATGACATGCCATCTTTATAGAATGACCATACCTCTGCATTGTGAACGCCGATACTGCTAATAGTGCCGAATGGACGGACCAAATCAAACGCGGTCCTCAAGGCAGGAGAGAGACCAACGACTTCAACAACCATGTCGGCGCCCCTGCCGTCTGTAACCTCCTTGATGCGCGCCTCTAATCCCTCCTTGTCCTTTGCCGAGTTGAGCGGCTCAGCCCCAAGCTTCTTGGCCTGCTCTAGACGACTGTCTACCATGTCTATGGCAAAAAGATGCTTCGGCTGTAGATGAGCTGCGGCCACAATGGCACACAGGCCAACAGGACCGCACCCAACAACGACAATGGTAGCGTCACGTACATCAATGGACGGCGACATTTGAATCGCACTCTTGACACCGAAGTAGCCGGTTGGGAATATGTCGGCCATGAGGACGAGCGCCTGGTCTGAAATGGCAGGTGGCGCTTTGGCGACGGTGCCATCGGCAAGCGGAACTCGTACAAACTCGGCCTGGCCGCCGTCCAGGACCTTGCTCCCAAATAGCTGACACTTGACACAGCGCGAGCTACTGTCATGGGTACAGTAAAAGCATTCACCGCTGAAAAGGAAAGAATAATCAATGAGTTGACACGGGCTAACAATAGGATATGGAGTTATTCACGAAGTAAAAGATGGACTCACCATGAAGTAGTAAAAGCTGACACGACCTTGTCACCAACCTGTACTGATTTCACTGTAGGCCCTGCAGCTACGACGGTTCCAGTGAACTCATGGCCCATGATAAACCCGGTAGCACTGGGCTGGTGCCCGCGGAACACATGGAGCTCGCTAACAATGAGACTGGTTAGTCTCCACCACACAGATCTCTCACATGTAGGGTTCAGTAGGGTTGGAAACATACGAGCCGCATAGTGCCGAAGCACTTACTTTGACGATGATGTCGTTGTCATCTTGCACTATCACGAGTAGTTTCAATTAGGCAAGCAGCCGGCGCGAGCGGGATGGTGGATTCAGTGGATAGACCCCGCAGTAGCTTAACTGTACGTACATTGAGGAATCGGTCGGTCTTGGATCGAGACTTTGTATGGGCCGTCAAAGACGACGGCTTTCATCACTGTTTGGGGCGACATGGCGTAGGGTGGCTGGTGACAGGGCAGACAAATGGGCAGAACGTGTACAGGGCAGATTCGAAGAGGGGAGCTAGCAATGGTTTGTTTACTATAAGCCCACCGATTAATATGCAGCTCATGAGCTTACATAGCCGAGGCATCTCCTCATGGCGGGGTTACTTAGTCAAACGGCCGAACCTAAAACTACACAGCATGCATATGTTTCAAATATTTGTAGAGATGATCAGTCATGGTAGTTACGACGGTATGGAAAATGTGTAGCGCAACGTTGTTAGTAAGTATCAATGCAATCCTGGCTGGCAGCCTGTTAGTGGGCCGGTGTGGCTAGAAAATCATGGGGCAAAGGCGGCTTACTACATCTCCGTTGAGATATGGGCTGATCTAAATTGATTTGGCTTGCTTTGGGGGCTGTTGGGTCATTCGTGAATCCAGACCCATCGTCGAGGGCTGAGGAATCAACAGAGCGTCACAATCAAGGAGGGTGGCAGTGACCTGGCAGCCTCAGGGAAAGCCCTTCCCGAGATTGAAGACCTTTTTTTTCACTTACAGCAAATCAGGCACTGTGCGTATTCGGATTATGGCGTGAGTGATAGCTCACATCAACGTGAATGGTATCCTTGGTGCGGGGCGGAGCGTGTGGATGATGCCCCTTACGTTAAACTACAGGCATCTAGCATCGGGAAAAGTAAGAAAGATCGCGGTTGCAATTATTTACTGAAACTAGCTCCGCCATGAGGCCACCTCGTATCATGTAGTGTAACCGTGAATTTGAGTTGGGGTGGTGGTGTGCAACTGGCAGGTATGTTGGTCTGAAATTCACCTCCGATACCGCAGTCAGCAGGAAAATTCACGAGAATGAGGTCAAGCTGTGGCCGATGATGATCAGTGTCACCAACATTGGCTATGATAGATATTGACCCCAGTCACTGTGGATTTATTGGCTTGAGATTGGGTTAATACGGTAGGGCATTGGTTATCTATCTTCAATGGTACCTTACAATGATACGTTTTAACGACCAATTTCTCATACTGAAAATACCGAAGGATGTTCCCAAAGCCTCCATACCCTTGAAGAAAGGCAGCAGGGTAGAGAGAGTGACAGCACATGAGATTTCCCGGTCTGCGTTGGCTGTTTGTCAGAGTTGCAGCTCGCATTAGGCAAGGATCCTTCATTACAGCAGGGATGCCTCGTCAACTACCGAATATCTTTGCCCCCATTATTGATGCTGCTTCCCAGCAGGCGATCAGCGCATCCCTACTCTTTGCTCGGCGCCCTGAATGGGTGCCACCCACCCAACCCGTTGCCTAACGAAGAGCTCGGCGGTTGGCTTAGCATCGTCAAGCACGGTGCGTGGTTCGTCATCAAGGACGCCCAACTTGACAATGACTGCGCCCCCGAAGGCAGAGGGGTCCTCGTCGCACGCCCGGTAGAGCGTCGTGCCGCAATCACCACAGAAGCGAGAGGTCAGGATGCGTCCCGAGTCCGCCAGCTTCTGGTAAAGGCGTGGGTCGCCTGCGGTCACGACGAGCCGGTCGGCAGGGACGAGGAGATCAGCCCCGTACGTCGACCCGCTGATCTTGCGGCAGTCTGTGCAGTGGCAGATGACCTGAGCCCGTCGGAGGGACGTTCCTGCGTTAGCTTTTTGCTCTTTTGACTGGCGTGATGATGGTACGGGGAACGCTACTGGGTGATGGCAGCGGAGAAGGGCGAGTGAGAGACGTAATCACCTTGGCATTGGGCTCCCCTTCGTAGGCAATGCGGATCTTGCCGCAGAGGCAGCCACCTTTGGGCATAATTATCAAAGATCCTGGGGACGGGGTATGATGAGATGCTGCTATCTTGGGAGGGATGAGGTGATTGAGCCCACGTTCGAGTGAGAAGAGTGAAAATTTTGCAAGTCATGCTTCACAGAGCACGGTTCCCCGCACCATCTTGCCCTGCAGGACCTGGGAAGAGATTTTTAGCCAGTGATGATGCTGTCTCAGCGTGGCTTGCATGACTCTGACCAAGGGCAAGTTGTGGTTGGTTGCTACGAACGCCCGGAAATTGTACCTAGCATGAACCCTGCAGCAGTGCAGAATCTTACATGAAAGTGGAATGAACAGGGATTTAAACAGTAACTCGACAGTAACTCGACCGTAACTCAACGGTATCTCGACCGTAACTCAGCAGTATCTCAACGATAACTCGACAGTATCTCGACCGTAACTCGACAGTAACTCAGCAATAACTCAACTGTTGACTGGGAACGAATAGATCTGACGAATGAGCGGGCTCGGAGCTGCCCAGCCAGCGAATTGTCATACTTGGGCTGGGTCGATCGCTCGCCTCACTCAATTCCGGGCCAACAGCTGGCCAGCAGCCTATCGGACTCTATCTGCGCCTCCCCCGCAGCTCAAATATTACTCTCATCATCCAGGGGAGACGTAGTTCAAGAGAGGGGTCTTGCACTTTGATGCCAACCAGGGCGCCAAAAGGGCCGTTACGCCCGCTGCCACGTGGAATATAGTTCCAGGCTATATGCAAGACCCTGCAAGCGCGACACACCCTTTCATGGACTCGACGCCCTGGTTGTTCGGCTGCCTCTCACCTCACCCGATGGTTACTTATCCATGTCGTCTATCCCCCTACCCAGCTTATCTATGTACGTACATTGACAAGTTGGCCGATCGACAACCAGGGTTCGCCTAGACCCCGTCTTGTGGAGATGAGCTTGACCCACGCCTTTAGCCAGCCCTCCCCTGCCCAGCTGATTCTGGAGAAGGATAGATTGAGCCTAGACTGTGACTATCCGAAGGGCCTAGGTTTGCTCCGGCCCTGTAGATGTACCAATGCAAGAGATTGGCATACTGCCACCTGGATGTTCGAGTAGTGAGATACCTGGAGCTAATCCTTGAGTCCCACAGCTGTGGTATTCCATCATGAACATCATAGTACCGAGACCAGCGATGTTGTATTCTGTCAAATATCCAAACAATGTCAAAGTGAAATGTAGTCTCAAATCTGCTGTTGATTCACTATTCTGTTTATTAGGCTTAAAAACTACACACCGGAGCGTGATGTGTTGATGTTGCGCTGCTATGTTTGCTGGGAACTGTGTTTTAAGCCCGTCACTGATAGTCCCCCCCAAAATACTGCATTTCTCGAAAACAACCAGAGTGGAATAGCGCCGGCGGGGGTGGCTACTGTGGGATATTGCGAACTGACGTGCATGAAGAAAAATTTTATGCCCTGCCGCGCAGCCTGGGAGAGTGCCTCTTTCGTGATGTGGAAAATTGGAAAATAAGCACCACAAATGTGCAGCACAGACCAGCGTTTCAGAGCGTGGATGGCATGTGACGATAAACGGACGAACCGCCCTATAAAAATGCAAGGAATTATGCACGGCATGATACATAAGCCAGGGTTGATATATGGTGTGATATAGGAGGGCTGTAATGGATAGTGTGGCTAGGCCCCGGCCCCCCTCTTTGCGAAAAGGAGGAAGAAAATTTTTCTCGGAGCGGAGAATGAGAAAACTAGTAATAAATCATGTAGCATGATATATCAAGAGGTAAGAAAGCATTTGGAGACAATGGTGACAGCTAATGCTTTCGGGGAGGAAACGTTCAGAGGCGGGCAGTGAGCCGGTGTTAACGAAGCGAGAATAAGTGAACTGACATAAATCTAACTTAGAATAAACGGATAAGAAATTTTGGGCGAATTAGAATAAGAAAACAATGCATAACATTACAACATGGTGAAAAGACGAGTTTATCCCATAGTCCTACAACACTTCTACTCAACTTGAATCCAGCCGTGAAACACGACCTTTGAACCCAATAGCCACAATCTGTCCGAAAAGAAATACAATGTAGAAGAAAAGAGAAATGGAGACAACATAGAGAGCTCATATCAGAGGGACCAGTGTTGGCCTTTTCTGGAGAGAAAGTAAAGCTTTACCTCCTGTTGTTGCGTGAATAGCTGCTCCGTGGGATCTCCCCAGAATCCTCATCTCGCCTAGAGGAACCAAACATGGTATCAAAGTCGCCAAGAAATTCACCAGCGCGATGTCGATATGCTTCTTGACGAGGGGGGCTCACGCGTAGGTTTGTTGAAGTGGTAAAGTTGCCAATGGGGTTAATATCGAGTCCATATGTGTCGCGATCAGATGGAAGGCGACGGTCATGATCAAAGAGGGCGGGCCTGGGGCGGGATTGTCCGGGAGAGTAAATACTAGAAGGACTGCGTATGGGTTAGAAGATGTTCTTATGGAGATGGGGGTGAGTAGATTTACCTTCCCTGACGCCCAGCAATTGAATCAACATCGTCAAAAAAGGGAGGGGTCTCCTCTCTGTGTCGCCTTGCTGGCTGGCCATTGCCACGCTGCCCGTATGAAGAACCGTGAGCAACGCCAGTCACGCGTTGGTGCTGGGGCTGTCTGAAATTTCGAGTAGGGTGATCATTATAAGAATAGATGGAGGACTGGCCGGCATATCTGTTATCGACATGGTTGGGTGGGTGGCCGTGGATGGTGCGGTCTTGATAGCTGGCGCGGGATGAATGGAAGTCGTCCCCCCCATAAGAGGTGGTGCCTGCTCCAAAGTCGTTACTTTCTAGGAAACGATCAAGAGTAAAGTTCGAGCCTCCATCTCTTGGTCGGCGATGTCGGCGTTCGGAAGAGTCGCCATTGCGATGGCTCCTTCTTGACGATCCATGATGTTGATCTGACATGGTCACCGGTTGATGCTGAAGAGGAATTTCGAACAAATAGAGGAGGAATTAGGTTTGTTTTTAAATGTTGAAGAGTTCTGAGAAAAGATGCAGCCAAATTCTGCTAGACTGAAGCGATGGGGGAGGGGATGTGATATATATAGTAGGGAAGATGGTATATTTTGGGGAAGAGTGAAGGAAGGAGGCGTAGAAAATGAATGTAGGAAAAGGAGCGGGAGAATTGATTTAAGAATGAAAATCAATGATAACACTGAAGTGTCACACACAAAGGTGAGCGAGCAAGTAGAAATATATCAGCACACAAAAGGGGGCCACAAATGTGGTGGTGATCGTGGACGTGGCCCGTGAGTCACTAAGGGTGTGTTAGCTAGTAGCCATGAAGTATGCCTAATATTTCGGAGGTAGATATATATGAGTGCTAAGGTATCACTCACGCATCTAATGAATATACATCTTAAGAGGCGCCATGCTATAGTAGGCTCATGAACATTTCAGGCATCATAGGCCGAATCTAGTCGGGGGGTGGGGGAGACGTCTCGTGTAAGGCGGCTGTGTATGAGGGCGCCGTGGTGAGAAGGGCCAATCGAAAGGTACAAGGATGCAGAGACATTGCTTGGGCTTTCTGGACTGCATTTCCTTCACGGAACTTGAGATGGTTGAAGGAGGCTTGGCTTGGGAGACATAGAGCAGACCGCCGAAGCGGTGGCATCTTGGCTGTTAAAATGAAGGCCTCTCGACAGACAAGGAAAGGTAGGGAGGGGGGCCTGGCTACTTGATTCGGCGGATGTTCGACATTAGATTACCGTTGACAAGACAGCGAAAGGGGTTTGACAGCCAGCAAAGCATCGAAGCAGCGGTGAGTGAAGCATGACCTGATGACTTGCTTGTAAGGCGACCGTCTAGACGTTTTGGGATTGGCTTGAAGATCTGATGGGCAGCATGATTGACATACTGCAATGAGGGAAGTGTGGCTTGGAGTCGATCAGGCTGGCTGGCAAGCGAGAAGGCAACGAGTGCTGAAGATAGGGCATCAACGGCGCGGAAGGCGGTGGACAAAGAAGGCAAAGATTTAATGGAGAAGACAAATATGAGATGGACAGAGGGGGAAGGAAAATAAAAGACAATAGATCAACGTCGTAAGGCTGGGCTGAGAGGCGGGGACTGTGTACATGCCGAGCCGCCAGGCCGCAGAAACACTCTGCAGAAGGATCGAGCATTTCAATGTTATTGATCGTCTGCATCAGTGGATTCTGACATCTCATATCATTTAGAATACCTGGTTTCTCCCTATCTCTGCGATGTCTCCGTAGTTCCGCTCCTCCTTAGGGTCTGGTGGCTGCGGCTGTCCCTGCATACATTTTTTGGTCACCATTTTGCATCCTCTTCACATTGGCGCCGCCTAGCAACCCAGCCGGAGTTTTTTGCTTCTATCGGATCCCGCTCCTTGTGAGCTCTAGATTGGAATCTGCGGAACACGGGACGAAAAAACCTTCATCAGAGGTGCTACCATGCAGCCCAAGGGCTGAGTACTGTAGAAACAGGCACCCGATTTTTTACGTGGCTCTCAAGAGTCTACAGCATGGAAATATTGGTCAAATGATACTCGGCAAGCGCCCGCGGGCGACGGATTAGGTGATGGGTGGGTGGACGGGTGGTAGGATGGATGGGTACTGTGAGACAACAGGACCAGGGCCAGGCGGTTGCAACCGTTACTCTCTCTGCCTGAACATCAAGTTTTTTTTCTCGTTGGGAGCTGAAGAGATTGGGCTCAAGTTTTGGGTAAATTTCCCATTTGACAACCAGCCTTTGAACGCATCATGTAGTCGAGGGTGGTTCGCGGACCACCTTGGACGGACAGGAACTGTCACGGACCAGGTATTATCTCTCTTGGGTAGTGTGGCTTCGAGAGAGGCCATTCTTGAATCTTAGCTGCGCTGTATTCCCCATTGAGTAGTCTTGTCTAGCCAAGGTGACATGAGAGACTGTCTCTACGCGCCCGGATGGAGCCAGAAGGCTCGGGAAAATCAATCTACGCCAGCTGGGCAAGGGGGAAGTAAGAGGAGGCCTTTGCGAGAAGGCCATGTGCATCAGTACGATGGGTGGGCCGTCGCTGCATCAGTGTATGCACGACGACCAACTGCATAATTAGCTCTATTGCGTACTTCTTGATCCCCTCTCTTCTGCCAGTCCTTCTCCATCCCCCCTGAGCGGGCCCTGGTCAGATGCTCACTTAGTGAGATTATCTGTCTCTCGTTTTCCTGCGAGGTGGCGGGTCTAGCCAGAATACTAACAGTCGAGGCTGAAATACGGCTTGGGGCCTGTTCTTTTTTTTTACATCCAGCTTTCCATTTACGGGTGATGGTCCCCTGGTCCTCTGCTGTTGCATGAGTAGGTTCAACGATCAAGTAGAGGAACTTGCGTGCAGGTATATTTACATATGCAGGATATAGGTACTTGTGTCTAACCTCTATGGTTAGGATGCTCCTCTAGTGAAACCTCACAAGTGATTAATTATACTATGTACACTAAATCCATCTTTCTAGCGCTGTATCATCATCGTCATTCATTCGTACGGAGAGAATCCTTGGCAGCCTTGTTCACCTGTGCCACATCTCACCCCATCCACCCTGAGCGGGTCCTTCCCCCCCCTTCCGTTGGCTCGGCTGAGATCACGGGGACTGAGGCGTAATCGATCAACCTAAATCCGAAGAGTGTGAGCGCCTCGTACCGGGCTGAGGGGTAATAACGGTGTAGTTACAGGTAGGGCAGTATGTTTTGTCATTTGGCGTGGCAGGGTAGCTGTCCTGGTTGTAGGTCGCGTTCAGCGTCACGGAACCCACGGTGTCACCAGACTCAAGCTGGATCCACGTGTCGACGGCGAGATCCTGGAGCATTTCTTGAGAGACGAGGACTTGACGAGCACCGCGGATCCAATTTCCATACCCTCCGTAACCACTGTGCTGACCAAAACAGAGGTTAATGCCGTTCCCTTGGACCGTCATTCCCGGGACGAGACTGTCCCATTTGTAACACCAAGTCGCTCCGTGGTCGTGGCCAGAGAAGAGAGCCATCAGCCCAGGGGTCTCGCTGATGGCCTTCATGAAAGGTATATCCTGTCCGCCGTAGGAACAGCTGCCGTCGTTGCGACCATCGGAGCACCAGCCCTGTGCCTGGGGAGAAAGCGGATAATCGTCGTTAATACCGGGCTGGCGGTTGGCATCGACGCCGGGTCCTGCCTGTAGCGCAATGGAGGCGTAGGACGGTATGTGGACGAAGGCGAGGGATGGAATCGTTCTGTGGTATTTGTGGACGAGTTTGGCATTCGTCTGGCTGAACCAGTCGACGACACTGGTATCAACCCAATTTGGATGGCCAATGGCCGAGCCGTCTTCATTCCACTCCTGGTAGCGAAAGCCTCCGCGACTATCAAAGAACCAGAGGAGAAGCTCGGGGGCACATCTTTCATGGTAGGTGCAGTCGGCGCCGTAGACAGGTAGGTAGTAATTGGACACGCCAGCATCGGGTCCGAAAACCATCTGGGTTGTGCGTGCGTTCGGCCAGCGTTTCTCACGCTCCAAGATGGTTTTTCCTGTCACATTTACTTGGTAGTCGTGATTCCCATAGGCAGATGCCCAGCTAAGACCACGCTCAACCATGGGCCCGACGATCATGTCGATGTAGTCGGTGCTGTTCTCCAGGTACGTGTTTTCCCCAGTAATGAGATCACCATTGAGCACGACCAGGTCCGGGGTATCAAAATCTAGGACCTTGTTCAACACTTGGACAGAGTTAATGTCTTGTTGAGGGCCCCACTGATCCCAAGCATCTGTACGATGAGTCAATACGGCGTGGTCTGGAATCGAAGGGATAGGATAGAGTCTCACTTTCACCAAAGTGCAGGTCCTCAAAGATGGAGAGCTGAAAGGTGCCATCCGACTTGAATCTCAATGGGCCAGTGTTCTGAAAGGGCATCTGGTAGGACAGGCCCACGAACAGCGAGCTGGCAAGGGACTGACGCAGCATATTGAATGAGCGACGATACAAGAAGACCGAGACACAGATGAGAAGCAGGACGAAGAATATGAATGTGGTGCCGTGCCTTGGCAAACTTCGCCTTTCCTTCGTCAACCGGCGGCCCAAGACCTTCCCGTCCATCTCCATGGCGAATGGAGCGATTAATATATGTTCTCGCGACCGCCCAAATTACATTACACGACGAGGATGCCGGCGCCCGCGAGATTGGATTGCGGTGCGGTGGTGGCAGGTAACCCTTCAAATGGCACCCGCCCGGCGATGGAATTCAATCAGTCCAGGGATGGCGCAGCCAGTCAGGCAGTGGCTCAGAGGCACCTGCAGGCCATTCTCGGGAATTCAAGCAGCGGCATCTTCTCCCATCGCATCGGTCTTCGGATCAGTTGATGGCTGGATGGATGCAAAGTGGTCAAAGGCTGCAGGTCGCAATTTAACCCGCCTCACACGTGGTGGCAGCTGCAACTGTCACGGGCCCAAAGTCCAGCGTCGCCCCAATTATTTTGTCCGCCTGGACTGGGTCGATTTGACACCTTCTTAAACCATCTTCGTTGCTTCCATCGTGTGTAGCTGACATGTCCTGAAGCCTGCAATTGAGTATGCATCCAGCTGCCTTTGAATAATTGCACCGTGTCTGTTGCAATTGCATGCATTTGTGGACCATTTCCGGGTCTGCTTGATGCTCGCTGCCGAAGACGAACACCAACAGAACCCCTGCCCGCATTTATGCTGTGCTCTGGACCGCTACAGTCGCTCATATTTCCCTAGTGGGAAGTCGAGAATTGTGCTATATAGACAAGGATCTCGGGACTTCCCAGCAGCGTGCTGATGCCACCCTAGATTGCCATCCTCGGCCCCAAATCATCGCGAGATTTAAGAGCAGGTGACTTTTGTTTCGCCGGAAGTCATGAACCACTGATATATTTGACTGAGACATTAATAAACCCTTGAGGCGCAGACCCTTGATCGTCGTTGGGGATGCTACTTCGTCCTGGGCCTGGCCTATCTCTAGGGGCAGATTCACTGGTGATCTCCGGGGGTTTCTTGGACTATGGTAGCTAGATATAAGGAGGTAAATATGAGCTCTGGCTGGGTTGAAAGGTATAATGCATTTCTAGCGGCCATGGAAACGTATCCCAATCATGAGCCAGAACCAACGAGGGTTGGATTAGTATACCGCACGCTATCCAAATGACCTCTAATCTCGCTAGAACTTTTATACAATTTCACCCCTCTAACCCTCTAATTCGTATGTAATTTTCCTGAAAAAAATTGAGTGATGAGAGACACCCTGCCCACCAAAAATATCCTCAAAGGGTCGGACGAAGGCTTGGCCAACATTCACAATCTTTCCTCATTTAGGAGCGAGTTCCTACATGATAATAATTATTAATAATATGAGGGATCTGATTCATCCTACCTACTTTATTACCTTCGTCTGGAATTTTCAGGTTCTGGTACTTCGGCAAGGTGGAGTTGCTCTCGGGACTGAGGAGGTAGCCATGACTAGAGCTTAAACTTGGCAAGGTGCTGATATCGCGGAAGGGTGGGGGTAAATCTTGGGATCTGAGATGAAATCAGACTTCATTTGGATACACATCCATCCAGACTTGGGGAACTCTTGAATCCGGGGACCCCGCAAACTGAGTGTTTCTTATAAATAATACGCTACCCACCCTCCAGTGAGACAGGACTTTTCTCGAACTCACCAACGGCCACAGGTCGAACCTTGCCCCCGGATAATATTTTTTTACTCCTCTATAGTCAAGATGGCCTGGAAAGAGGCATTCGAGCTTTCTCCTTCCGAAGTTAGAGCCGCGACCCCTCCTGGGACCGTCATTTTGCTTGGTTAGTTGATCGACTTGGGCTGATTCCATCTTGCTCATTCTCCAGTTTCAAGCTAATATATTACTACATATTGAACACGGTACAGATGTGGGCGTAGCGGGAACCTCAAGCAATGGCCTGGTCAGACAGCCTCAACCTTCTTCTGATCCCCGAGATCCGCTCAACTTTCCTTTCTGGAGAAAGTTAGTAGCACTTTTCATGGTGTCGTTCTATGCATTCGTTGCAAACTTCACCAGCTCAGTCATTGCTCCTGCGTTGCAATTATGGAACTTCACGTTTCCTCACGATCCGAAATCTTATTCCGAGCTATCCACACTGGTTGCAGTACGATGTCCCCCAAACTACAACAAGAGCTTTGCCGAAACTGATACATGAGTGCAACAGGTAAACGTTTTGTTTCTCGGTGCCTCTAATATATGGTGGGTACCTTTGTCAAACTGGATAGGGAGACGGCCTGTTCTAATCCTGGCCTCGCTTCTCATGACATGTTGCACCATATGGTGTGGCGTAGCGCCCTCCTTCCATTCTCTTTTTGCTGCGAGAATCCTTCAAGGAGCAGGGGGTGGTGCAGCTGATTCAGTAGCACCAGTAGTGGCCGGTGATATGTTCTTTGTCCACCAACGTGGACGAGCAATGGGCGTCTACACCGTGTTTCTCTCCCTCGGCCCATTTATTGGTGGGCTGGCAGGTGGCTATATTGCCTTTAGTAAAGGCTGGGAATACACGTTTTGGGTGGGGACTGCGCTTTCAGCGTTTTCCTTTGTTGGGATGGCCATCTTCGTTCCCGAGACTCTATTCGAACGGCCCATTTATCAAACTGACCAGTCACCAGAGTATCAGGTTAATGATGCCAAGGTCCGATCTGAGAGAATTGAGGACGTCAACCTAACAGAACAGAATCATCTTACGTTCACACAGTCTCTAGGATTCGGGCCTGTCCGGGGTAACATCGTTACTTTTGCCATAAGACCCTGGAAATCTCTATATCTTCCTGGAACATGGGTAGTTATGCTTCACTATGCTGGCCTAGTCGGCGGTGTGGTGACCATTTCTACCATTGGCGCTCAGCTCGTCGCAGAGCCTCCTTATCTCTGGGGCGCAAATGCAGGATTGATAAACGTGGGTGGCCTGATAGGAACCGCCCTCGGATACATTTACACTCATTTTACTTCGGACAGAATTGTCAGATGGCAAGTTCGGAAAAATAACCACCAGCACGGAGTTACCGAGGCAGAGCACCGCTTGCCTACCATGTTCTTCCCTCTAGCAATAACAACCTTTGGCTTCTTTGTATTCGGGTTTTGTGCACAGAACCCGGGCCCCTATAGATGGATCGGTCTTGAGGCAGGATTCGCCATGTTATCCTTCGGATTGATGCAAGTACCATCAGTGGGCTTCAACTACGTGAGTTGATACCAAACCTGAGTACAGACCAGCGAATAGGCTAACCAGTCTTCTTATTCACCAGCTTGTTGACTCTTATCATTCTCTGGCGGCTGACTGCCTAACCATGGTCACAATTCTCCGGGCCATCATTGCATTTTCTTGGACCTTCTTTGTTGCTCATTGGATCGAGGAGAGGGGGGCAGCGGAGCCTTTTGGTATATTCGGAATGTTGATGGGGATCTTTGGACTGCTCACAATTCCTCTTTGGCTTTTCGGGAAGCGGATGAGAATTGCTACTGCACCCAGTGTGGAACAATGGTCAGGATGATTTGGGCTCTACCGAATCGATTGGTAGTACGCAATTTAGTTGACTAAGACTTGACTTCCTGAACTACGTACTACATCTTAACCTAGAGCTGCTAAGGTATAGGAATAGGCTCTGACTATCGGTTTCGAATTCAGTAATATTTCTTCTTATTAAATATGGTATTAAGTATACAATGAGGATGAAAGACTTATGGAATATCTTGAAACTAATTTCTTGAGATATTCATGCAAATAGAATTCACCGAAACTGAGGGCAAGGTAGGTATCAAATAAAACTTTTAGCCCCTGTATCACTAAAATACCCAGAGCAGCCAAACCTGATAGTTGTACATTGACCCAGTATAATTAGCTTTGATATATTTGCCAACACATGTGAAGAAATCTTGGGCTACAGTATTTCTCGCCTTCGCCCATGTGTGACGATTCTTGACAGATCAGACTCCTGTTTGATGCACTTACAAAGACAACCTCTAATTGCCTCGTAGTAATGTCTTACCTCAATGGCCTTGCGAAGGCATGTATTTTAGCTAATATTCTTGTGTCTATTTTGAGACTATGCAAGTAAGAAACTAGATAACAGGAAAGAGACCTGGACATCCTTGCGTTTCCTCTCAACCAGCATACACGCAAACTCTTGCCTAGGCAAAGAGTGCAGGAGTTACGAAGCAGGCCTTATAATAGTAGCCTGCATATATAAAAGCATCGTCATATTTTAGTCAAAGTTATACAACTAGATGCTCAAGCAGGGTGGAGACACCGTTGACTATAATCATGGTTCTAAGCTCCGTCACCCCGGATATCTGGCCCCACTACTCCCGGCCCCACGCCGACGACTTGAGCCGATGGATGGTGTTGGGAAGTGCTTTCCGGTAATGAGCTTGGTGAGGAGAGAAGAGCCAAGGGAATAACGCGTTTTACGATCGAATCTCAGGACTGTCGAGCGTCCAATCTAGATATGGAGGGCCTCCCACACACCCGACCTTTGGTATCTACCATCCTATGTACTTATTAGTGTTGTGATTGTCATCGAAAATCCCTTTAGCCATCGCATGAGAAGTATCTACACGAGATTTCTGAAGATTTCCCCCTCGAATCGTACTATCTCCCCTAAGATGAATATTTGTAGCTAGAATAAGGGGTGTGACAGCACCCATGACGCAGGCGACATATTGTTATAGCAAACTTCCCCCGTTTGCCCTGGATATATCATCCCCAAATACTATTTATCGATATATAACATAACTATAATACCTTTATAAAGCAAGGCATCTTAGAGAGTTACTCTGTGAATTCTTGCATGCCATTATTGTAAATACCCGAGACAATAGATGTGAATAGATCAGAAAAACACCAATAAATAGTTTGAATTCCATGTCTGATTTATTCGATTCCCTAATCATTGAAGAAACATAGAATCATCACGTGGTGATAGGCTCGTTGACTACTTTGTGTCGATCCAATTCGAAAACAGGACACAGTGGTCCGTGGCTTAGTTTTCTTGTATGAAAATATTCAATGTGACTCGGAATACAAATCGTGGTGAAAGGTTCAATTCCTAACATGATTTATACGGCGTTTTTGATTATGTGGGATTAGGCAGTCAAAAGGTAATTACGGGGGATTGCTGGGTCAATCTAAGCTGAATAGCATGTACCAGCAGCTTTATTTATTTATCTTACCATAGAATTGATCGGAAAGACCTTTGGTGTTGCTAACGTCGCTCATCCATGGAAGAGTAGATGAACATTTGGCCGAGCACAAGCATGCTTCGGGATTGACAGATTGTTGTCACGACGACGTGCTATTGATTTCCAGGGTGGTCCAAATGAACACAGGCTTCGTACCTAGGCATTGTATTGCACTAAAAAATAAATAAACTGAATTGAGACACTGAGGGGACCCCTTTCCAGCGAGCCAACCACACCTGCAGCCCCCCTAGCAGCCAGCCCCATCTCGATAGAGCGACAAGAGGACAGGATAAACACCACGCTCGTAACAATGGCAGCTGAAAGTCAGCAGAAAGAGTTCAGTGCTGCTTGAAAGATTATGGAGACGGACCTCACGGCTGTGTCCCGCGCCCCATCGTGGAGAGGCGGGAACGGATACGAGCTGTAGGGCCACGCCGGATTACGGCCGACGATCATGTACTCGAATCATTGTACATTTATTCATTATGAAGGGGGACAGACTTGTGCAGAAAGGATACATTATTATCGGGGGGCGAGCCCCAGCGAATCACCAGTCCTCGCCATGGCGCCCGACACGGTATTAATCAACCCGCGCAATCTCAGCTTCAATGCAGACGCCACCAGCGCCTCAGCCTGCTGCTCCCTCACGCCATCTGCATACCTCCCAGAGAATTGGCCGACGAGAGCGGCCATGTGCTGCAGCTCCTGCGTCATCTGCACGAGCTGAGACGCACAGGTCAGGTGGCCGAGGCCGTGCTCCAGCGCGTCCAGCAGCGTGCTGCACACCGACGCCGCCAGCATGGCCACCTCGTGGCGCTGGGAGCAGGGGCAGATGAGGATCTGGCCGACGACCTTGATGGAGTCGGCGACGGAGATGCCCTGGGCGGTCGTGACGGGCGACGCGGGGGAGAAGGGGCGTGCGGCGGTGAGGCTCTCGAGGACATTGAGGGCGATGGTAGAGCAGTCGACGCAGTCCGAGGCGCAACACACACCTCCCGCAATGGTGGTGCCGGTGGCGGCGGCCGAGGTGCCACACATGGCCGCAGGGTCGGTCCCTGAGGTGGAGGCTGAGCGACACGAGGAGGGACTGGGCGTCATGGCAGAGGTGTGGACTGCGACTGCGGAGGAGGGACATGAGGAGGAGGAGCTGCTGGCAGGCAACGGCCTGGGCAGGGATAGTTCCATCACGCCCTCCGACCACGGTGTGAGCGGCGGCTGCAAGCCTGCCCATGCTTCCCCACCGTTGCCAGAGCCCAACGTCAGCGAGGGATAGACGTTTCTGCGACTGGCTGCTGCTGCTGCTGCTGCTGCCGTCCTGCTGTTCCCGTGGGCTCCCTCCGTCCCGACGAGAGCGTGTTGCTGTTGCTGGTTGATGGTCATGGAGAGCTGGAGGATCCCATCTGGACCACCGCCGCCCTGCTCTGGGGCGGCGGAAATCAAGCTGGCTCTGCTTCCAAGCTTGGACACGAAGGAGCTGTTGGATCGATGCGGCCGGCCGGCGCGTCGGGCTGGACTGTAGCGACACGACCGTTTCATCTTACAGCATCGGCTGCAGATCGGTTTCTCCTTGGTGCATCTCACCTTGAAGGCCGAACATGCGTCGCAGGAGTCTTTGAGCTTCGTCCCAACAGTGGCAGGTGGCTTTTCCGGGGCCATTGTCGGCGGGTCTCCTCAATCGATTGATTCTATCAATCGGTCGAGACTGGGGAAGAGTGAAGATGCAAGGTATATATCAAGGAACAAACTGGTGAAGGCGAATGCGAACGAGCAAATTCAATCCACCTTACCTCAACACAGTTTGGATAGATAGACAGAGGAAAAACTATCTCTCAGACAGCACGATTCGTCACTTATTAATATACCAATGCCACCTAGATGCTGATGCCTCCTTTGGTTGGCTGCCCATACGGCCTGAATGTTGAGCAGGGCAGCCCAAGGCTGAGGACATACTCTCTCTTCCTTGGTCATGCTCCT